TCTATTTATTTAATTTGTGTAAACGTGGCTTGGTCACTTCTATTGATCTAAATTTGTTGATGAATGTGGTGAACATGACGAATGCAATGAATATATTGTTGGGCTTATTGTTTTGTAATCTAGATTGTTGATGCTAGAATGGACTAGTAAAAATATGGTATGTGTTGGCAAACAAATTGTTGTTTGCACTAGATAGAAAAAAGTGGCATGGGCTAGCATAGAAAAAATAAGGCGTCATTAGGCTGGAAAAATATGGGCCATGGACGTGTCAATTGAAAATGAGCAAGTGAATGGACTCGGCCTCATTGAATAAAAATATTGGGCTAAAAATCATAACTTGAAAGTGTCTGGCTGAAAAAAATCAGACCAAACAAATGGCTTGGCCCATTATAAGATTGTTTCTATATGGGCTTTAATAGGCCACAATTTGGTTGTGACGTTTTTAGAAGTAGCTATGTCAACATTTATGATATTTCTCATCCTATGGGGAATTCACCTACATGGCATGTTGCAAAATGTTGTGACGTAAAAACAAGTGTAATAAATCTTTATGACTCCAACACCAATGTCATAGATTTGTGACATAGCTACACAAATGTCACAAAACATGGTTAGAGATGCATGTTTGGTGACACAAGCTTATTGTTGTGTAGATGTCACAAAAGTTGAACTTTGACAAATTCTAGATATTATGACTAATGACACCTGTGGTGGCATGCAGAAAGATCCGCAAGCGCGCAGATATAGTAGCTTTTCGAGAGTATTATCAAATATCGTATCCAAAGGGAAACGTGTAAGATTAATGACAAATTAACTTAACTAGGGATAACAACAAGGTTAAAGATAACCATGAGTATAGAGAGAACTTCTAAGGTTCTTAACCTCAAACTTAAGGAAGAGTTGTATTCTAGTGTTCACCTGGGGACATTACTAAGGAAGAGCATAGCAGAAAATAACTTCTTCCGTCACAACACAGGTCCTACTAGGCCTACAGATAGAAGATGGACTACAGAGGATCAACGAGACTATCACTCCCATGATCTACCACATGTTTAGGAATGCAGGGTGCATCCACGAGTAGCCAAATGTCTAAGCACCACGCTTATAGTAACGATTACTACTTTAACCCAAGAGCTACAAGGATTAAAGCACTCAAACGAATCATGATCCTGATGAACACAAAGAACACAATAGTTACTTTGGATTAGAAATCAATTACGATGTCTTAGACACAGGCTCGAGCAGAACCTAAATCCACCAAGGTACAAGTCAAAGAGAGAATGCCGATAAACCCAATATCTTCTCTAAACTCATCCCTCACTCTCTATCTCTCTATTTTCTTTAATTGCGATGCCTTCTTAAGGGGGGTCTAGGGGTCCTTTTATAGGGGCACCCGGCATCCTGTGGGCCCATGAATCCAAGGCAGGGCTCCATTTCGACCCTCCGTTTCAAACCAACTTGAATGTATGATGAAGACTAATCCTTGGAGGTGGTGGAGGATCCCTGTTTCATGCAGAGGCAATTGGTGGGGCCATGGGGTCGGTCGACCTATAGGTGGGGTCGGCCAACCCCCCTGTCTCCTCTACAGTCCATCTTTGTCGGTAAATCTTGGATGGTGGATTAGAGCCCAGTGGGGTCGGTTTCGTTGCGGATAAACTTGATTTGTTGAGATAGCATGGCCCACTTGGTGCATTTTCTAGATAAACCCTCCTGCATTCATAGAATCACCACAACCCGTGGAAATACTTAGTTTCAACCACTGCGCCTATATTGGTGATTGATTTTAAGAATAAATGCAGGTCATATTGACGATTTATGATGAACGTTAACGACCGTCAACAATGACATGGGTATGAATTAGCCTATTTGTTAGCCGAGCACTTCAACGTTGTTCAAGACGAGGAATCTACTTAATTACACTTTGGATCTAAAAATATATATTCGAAAAGCCCATGGAGTCAGAGAAATATATAAAACTATTAAATGTGAAGTGATGCATCAATATGATTTACATTTTCTATAGGATGTTGGTAGATGGGCTGCTATTGTAAATTTAATTCCATAGTTTGATAGTTGGTCGATCTAGTGATGAGGTTACTCAAACAAACATAACAATAGAGAGTGTAGGATACATGAATTAGTCTGCTAAAGGAGTTGCATCTATGAAGCTCACTGTTGCATAGAAAAAATTATTTAAAGCATTTTTCATTGTAGAGATGCAAGGTAATTATAGTGCTATAATTAGAAGTGACTAGATTCAAGCAAACCCATGTATCTCTTTTATGTTGCATCAATTTATAAATCAATGGTATGGAAATGAAGTAGAGATCATGCATACAGATCCATTGATTGATGTTGTTGTGGCTAATACTCCACCAATTGTCATGTAACAAAGTTAATTAAATGCTCAATGGGATTAGAATTTCAGAATACTACATCCTAAATGTTAACGTATTCCAATATGGTTTTGTACCAGTTACTGCAAAGCTGGATGAAAATCATTGAATCATCATTGGAACCTATAGAATGCATAGATAATGAAATATTATGCCCCCCCAGAAAAAATGGCCTATTTAGTGGTCCTCATCAACCTAAGGAAACATTGATCCTAGACACTATTTTTCTAGCACATAATTAAGTCTTTACCAAAAATAAGGGGCATACACCACATGGGCGACTTGAGTGTATCATATGAGGAACTCAAGCTCTCTTTTTCAAAAATCTTGCAAAAAACTCCAAACTTCTACAGAATAAGAAAACTACTGTTCAAGTCAAGTTGTTCTGTCTCTCAACTACCCATGATGAAGGAAAAAGCCTTATGCCACGTGAAGGAATAAGGTAAAATGGGTGAGTTTTCAACATTGCTAATCTTTCCACTCATGGAAGAATATGTTTGTTGTACACATGGTACTCTTGAAATGTAAACTAGTAGGAACTCCTAATCCACCAAGGCTAAGTTTTAGTCTTTGCTCGGGACGAGCAAAGGTTAAGTTTAGGGGAGCTTGTTGACGGGAAAAATGACATGATTTTACATCTTGAAAACATCGTCAACATACCTCGGAATAAAAGGTAATGAGCTAAGCTAGCTGATCAGTTCTCTAATTCAATTTGATGTAATGAGGCTCCGGATGTAATTCGGGCCATCATTTGTAACGATATGTTAAGATAATATAATGCTTTCTGTTTAAAACTAGGGCCATCTCGTTTTTCACATAGGTGCTGCAAAGTGCGTTTCTATATATCCTGCACAAGTATTTGGTCTGTCATAACTGCCAACAGAGAGGTACCAACCCGACCAATGTCGTGCCATGTCGTTCGCCATAGGGCCAAGGCGATGAAGTAGACAATCAAATTGTCGGAGGCTCAGGTGCGCAGTATCAGCGGGTGGCGGGTAGAGCACACGCGATACATATTTTTGTCTAGGTAATATTCTTTTCATTTCAAATTGTAAGTGGCTTTTGTTGATACGGTTTTTATAATATATCTAAATTTATACTATGTCTATGTACATAGTAAAATGTATGTATATGTAGAAGTCAAAACGACTTACAATTTGAAGCAGAGAAAGTAGGTGTTCCCTATTTTTTTCAAATTATAAGACATTTTAATTTTTTTAGATCCATTTTTTAGTGTATATATCTAGACATAGTGTATATCTTAGCGCATAGAGAAATCTATGTATAAAAAAAATCAAAACATCTTATAATACAGAATTGAGAGAGTAATATTTTCATCTATATATTTGGTGAAAGTTAAAAGCGCTTAACTCGAGAGCGATACTTATTTTGAGACGGATGAAGTAGTACCAACGAACAGCATCTGTCGCTAGGACTACCTGAGAACTGAGCTGTTTGTGAACCACATTTCAGAAATGTGAACGTCCAATCTTTTGGTCAGGAAACTGATGGCCGGCACATTGATTTTATTACCTTCGCAGAACTATGACCGCCAACCTAATTCATTCCAGCCTAATTCATTCGAGCCCAAGCATTCATTCCATGTGCAGAACTAATTTCATAACTGATTCCACGTGTAATACATTATACATAACCGCCAACATTAGAAGGGGCGGAACAGATGAAATCCGAATATAAAAAATGTTGGTGATTCCACCTTTAAAAAAAAACAGATCTATCTTTGGATAGAGAAAAGTAATAAAAATGGATTCAGATGCTTTCATTTTAAAATTATTATTACAATAAGATACAGACAGGGATAGCTATATGGATTTTTAGCGAATATGAATTTAAATAATTTGTATTTTCGGTATATGTTTCCACTGCAAAACTTTACTAGGCCCCGCTACTTTCGTTCCATTAGAAATATACAAAAACATAAGTCTATCTAAAAGTGAAACTCTTTTACCTTTCGGTATATATATGAAGACACATATATATAGGTTAACAATACATGATGCAAATTACTAGATTCATTATAAAAATACTTCCATAATATATAAAATTATAAATATAATATATATCGTTGTTACTCAGTGTAATTATATTGAAAATGATATTGTGTTATATTTCAAATGGGTTTAGGGGTTACAGATTAAAAAAAAAGTAGAACGCCAGTGCGGGTGCGTTGTTGTTGTTGGCAGCAAGCCGGCCAGGATTCAAGAGTTTATAAAGGGTTTAGTTCTTCGCATATATATAGTGTATAATAACAAGAGCTGATTCTCAGGCAAAGCTAACACCCTCCCCTCTAGTCTGCCGGCTACCATGGCTACCATCGCCGAACAGGTCACCGTCCTTGAGGATCTCCGCAGAGCGCAGCGTGCGAATGGCCCTGCCGCCGTGCTGGCCATCGGCACGGCAACCCCGGCAAACTGCGTGCTACAGGACCAGTTCCCCGACTGGTACTTCCGTGTCACCGGTAGCGACCACCTCACGAAGCTGAAAGCCAAGATGAAGAGAATATGTACGGTTTCAATCATTCTCAATAGTCGAAACATTCTCAGAGAGGGGGAAAAAAGATCAGAATGTTTGCTTCCATCGCAGGTGACAAGTCAGGCATCAAGAAGCGCTATTTCCACCACACGGAGGAGACGATCAGCAGGCACCCGGAGTTCCTAGACCGCGCGCTGCCGTCGCTCGGCGCGAGGCTGCGAACCACCGCGGACGCCGTGGCAGAGCTCGCCGCGGCCGCGGCGGCAACAGCGATCGCGGAGTGGGGCCGCCCAGCGGTCGACATCACGCACCTTGTCGTCGCCACCAACTCCGGTGCCGACGAGCCGGGCGCGGACCTCCGCCTCGCTATGCTACTAGGACTCCGGCCGACCGTGCGCCGCACCCTGCTCTATCTGCACGGCTGCTCGGCGGGGCTCGTGGCCATCCGCGTCGCCAAGGACATCGCCGAGAACAACCGCGGCGCCCGCGTGCTCGTGGCGTGCGCCCACGCCGTGCTCCTCAGCTTCGGCGCGCCGGACGAGGCCCGCCTCGACGCGCTCGTCACCACGGCTCTCTTCGCTGACGGCGCCGGCGCGGTCGTCGTCGGCGCCGACCCGACGCTGCCCGTCGAGCGCCCCGTCTTCCACTTCGTGTCCTCGTCACAGGCGACGCTGCCGGCGACAGAACGTACCGTTGGGATCACCCTGGGCGAGAGCGGCGTCGAGTACGGCGTGTCCACGGAGGTGCCGACGCTTGTCCGCGACAGCATAGAGCGGTGCCTGGCGGACTCGCTGGCGCCGCTTGGCCTCGCGAACGCGAGAGACGGCGGCGGCTGGAACTGGAACAGCCTCTTCTGCGCGGTGCACCCTGGTGGCCGCGCGCTCTTGGACAGCTACGAGGCCGCATTGGGCCTGGATGCACGGAAACTCGCGGCTAGCCGGCACGTGCTGGCCGAGTACGGCAACATGTTGGGGGCGACCATCATCTTCGTCCTCGACGAGATACGGCGGCGCCGCCAAGATGGTGGGGAGGAAAGGGAGAACTGCAGGTGGGGGATCATGTCGGGACTTGGGCCGGGACTTACAGTTGAGACTATAGTTTTGCATGCTGCCGGCAGCCGGAACGAAGACTAGCTTATGATCACAGCTTCATATATAAGGGATACGCGACATGCTTTTGGGTTATTTGGGTGTGTGACTAATAACAACTGAAAAAAAAGTGAAATTAACGAAGATTCTTGCATGAATGCGGTATGTAGGAGGCGGAGTTTGTAAGTTTATTAAAGCTTTTCTTCACAAACACGAGGGTAGCAACCTACTGTTTAATACTCACTCCATTTCAAATTATAAAACATTTTAGTATTTATAGATAGATGTTTTTTCTAAGAACCTAGCTAGATATACGATATGTCTAGATACATAGTAAAAATAATATATCTAGAAATATCAAAACATCTTATAATTTAGAATGGATAGAATACATATTAGTAATATAATAAAAGAAAAAGTCTGTTTATAGATTTTATATGGTAAAATTTGTCAGATTTTTTATGTGGTCAAATTTGTCGACAGTTGTAACATAAATCCTAAAGCACAATCAAACGTATAGAAATTTGATAGATTTAGTACAAAAAATATATGTCAACAGATAAATAGCGAAAGTCAAAGAAAAAAGAGGTGTCCAAGCAACACAATTGCGACAGCACAATTTAAGAAACGAAAGGACAAAAAGAATATAAAGAAGATAACAATTGTTGCTCTAGACATTCTTCTATAAGACCAACAATTTGATATTAATGGCATAATTCCTTGGAAGATATGGTCATTCCTTGAGACCGAAATGCTCTAACTCATTAGTACAACGATTTCCAAGTAGAAATAGACTCCTTGCTATTGTTTAAAGTGTTCCAAAGTAATAAAGAGTTCAACCTCAATGTCAGTGCTAATATTAAGACTGGACCAACAAGCTTGTGCGAAGTCACACCTCAAGAAGAGGTGTTCTAGGGTTTCCTCCATAGGTTAGGTGCATAGGACACAATCACAAATGGGAAGATCCATATGTTCATCCTCCTGGGAAGTTCTCTTATGCTGAGTCGATCTTCTAGGACTAACCAGAAGAAGATTTTATGTTTGTATTAGTAGGATGACCTCTAGATCCATTTGAATGTCGGGTGTACCTCTGTGTGGCCAATTAGAACTTTGTAAGCCTTTATTGATTTGTACATGTGAGAGTTCCAAATATAAGATCACCAATCATGTTCAGGTGTCAAAGTGATGCCTTGTAGATCTTGCTCCAATTGCTGTAGCTAGGCAAAAGCATCAATTGACAGGGGAGATGAAAAAGATTGTGCAACGATATAATTGATTTGGCTTTGCTGAGTGTTATTCTCTATATTTTTTTTGCAAAGGAAAAGATTTCATTGTATGCCTAACTTGGGACTCTACCAAGACAAAGATCTAACCAAAGGAGACAAGATTCTCCATTGTGAATGTTAACTAATGTCATTCCTTTAGAACTATCCAAAAGCTTTAATATATCTCTCCACAAAAAAGATCCCTTCTTTGTATGACCAGACAATTTACCATTGCTATAGTTCTTTTCCCATACTAAGTGGACCCACGGGATATCCTCCTTGTTAAAATATTTATGAAGATTTTTTGTAAGGAGTGCTTCATTTGTGTTCTTAAGTTAATGCCACACAAATCTCCCTCATCTTTGGGTTTGCATGGCATTGTCATGCTGCTTTTGGGGGATTTTTTGCATTGATGTTAAATCCCCTCCACAAGCAATGCTTTCTATATTTATCCACTTGCTCAAGCACCATTGCAGATGCATTCTTAAGGTGCACAAGTAAAAGGTGTGGAGAGCAATGAAGACTAAGTGAGCTCCATAAGACCAACTTGAGAAAGAACAGTTGAGGTACTGACAAGTCTACATTCACATTTGTGACTAATGGCATGAAATCCTCAATCTTTGGCTTGTTGGTCTCTAATAAAGGTAATCCCAGGTAAGAAAAGGCAAAGAGCCCTTGGGACAACCAAATGTGTTGAGCATAGACGTGATGTCAAGGCTAGGGATTACCTTTGTTTGCCTCATACTCCACAGGTTCGGATATAGTGTAGAGTATAGGCTGGATTGGACTTAGCAACCACTAAGTCAAGGTCGGTGCTCGAAGTAAGCAAGTAAATTAAGTGTGATCCTTATCGTTAACTTAGTTCTATCCCATAGTTGTCCTCTCTACCAACACCTATCATCTTTTTCTCCTTGGATGTAACTAGGACCTTTATTTGATAAACACACATGTTCCAATTCCAATCCACTGCCTCCACGAGTTCTACCCGCTCGCCCGCCCTCTCCCTCCCAAATCCTACCCCAAATCCCCCGCTCGCCCCACCCTCACAGCCCCTGCGACAGTGCCACCGCGCCCACTGGATAGCGCCGCCTCGCCCACCCCAAAGGCCCAGCCTGCCCCACCCACAGATCCCCTGCGCCCCCAGAACCCCGTGCCACTCGCTGCTTCAGCGTCACCCCGCCCACTGGAACTCGAGATGAAGCTGCAGTGACCGAGGAAGCCGCACCCGGGGTGAGATAATTTTCTTCCCGTCCACTCCCCTTCCTCCTAGTTTGGGAATTCGTGGGATTCGGCATTGGTTCGTGTGATTCAGGGAATGGCGCTCGCCGGGTGGAAGCTCCTAGGTCGGGGAGGCAAGGTGTTGACCAGATTGTTGGGCACAGATTGGGGATACATGTTCATTCGTCATGTCTGAGCACCCCCAGAATCCTGATTATTGACCTCATCTGCACCCCAAATCCAAAGTGTCGCACCCAGGCCGTAACCATTTTGCCTCGCATGCTGCCACAGAGAAGCCATCTCTATATTCCATCAACACATCTCTCTGCATCTCCATGGCTGCACGCTTGCACCCCTAGAATATCCAATTCTGTTCCCGGCCTCCAGTGCAGCGAATCAGGGCACTGTAGAAAAGCCTTAGGATGGTCCTTTGCACAGTAGGTTTGGGACCTAGTACTTTGTTTTTTTTTTGTACAGTATTAAATTTGATTTGCCTACGAATGACAGCAAGTAGCTGGAGATTGTGAAATGCGGCTCACTTGGTGGATTATCTAAGATATTAGGCATAACTAAGAGATATCAATCACAGTAAGGCCTCCGTGGACAACATCAATGTAGGACCGGGTTGTAGAAAGAACCACAGGATCTAGAAAAGCTTGTTTGAGTTACCATTATAAAAATCTCAGAAGTTCATCTGAGAACTAGACTATGCTACTACTTACCATCTGTTGCTTTGCTAGGATACTGCGATTTGTATGTACTAGACTGTACCCTTTGATTTATTTGTGCCTATTACTGTTGTTAGTATGTGACGTGTGCATGAAACAAACCATTGGAAAGAATTAACAATGTGAACAGTATGTGATGGGTGATCTAGATTTATCTATTGTTGCTGCTGTCATTCATGTGGACACCAAAGCTAGCAGTTTTCGTTTTTGTTCAGACTTAAACTGCATAAAGAAACTGTTGCATTGTGGTAAATGAAGGCAGCCAAATTAAAACAAATAAAAATATATTTATGATGTTATGCCTCAGGATTAATTATATTCAAGTTGGAGATATGGCATGACATGATCTTGCCTTTTTTTGGCTGAAGTAGAAAGTTCAACCGTTTCCTTTTGTTATTATAGTCATGCATACTCAACCCTAAACCCTAAACCCTAAACCCTAAACCCTAAACCCTAAACCCTAAACCCTAAACCCTAAACCCTAAACCCTAAACCCTAAAACCCTCATGCTTTCTATTCAATACTTAAACATCTCAAGTGCGTCGAGTTCAGTCCCCTGTCAAGACAACAAGGTGCAGACCAGCTGCATCGCCGTCCTCACATTGCTTGCATCCAACAAATTCAATCCTTTCAGGTACACACTCAATACTAGTTAGTATTCATGATTGTCGCTTTATGAGTTTACTGCAGCCTCTATTGCATATTCGATGTTTTTACTCTGTATTAGCATTAAAGTTTTAGCTTCCTTAACGGTGTGAGATGGATCAAGTCAGCAATGCATCACGGTTGGCTGCTAATATGATGTCATGTACTTTTTGAGCATTGTGCTTGATTGTAGACAAGTCTGTAGTGCAGGGCAGCATCAAAAGCACTTTCATTTATCTACTCTTCTGACTTTATTTGAGAATCTATATTGTTCAGATTAGTAGTGAAGAACTGAAAGTTCGGTGAGTCTGCACTTTACATTTCCACAGAAACAGAGTGATATCTGCTTAGTCATTTGCACCCTTTGATCTAGTTACTTTTTTGGGACCTGATCTCATCCTTGGAAGATGATGCTTTTGCTAGACAGAGGAACATGGTGTTCCATCATACATTATATCGCAAAGAAAAAAAAATTGTGGTTTCTATGTTTAGAACTAATGCATGCATCTCTATGTTCCTGGTCTATCACACTAGGCCTCCACATTTATTCTTCTATGGATATCTGCTGTTTTTTATTTCTACTTGTGTTGCTTGCCCAATGTTGAAATGGAAATAACAGCAAAATTTCTGCACCATGATAGTATCCTAAGCGTCTCTCCTTTGCATGTCCAACCATGAATTTTTTATGTGTTCACATACTCAAATCCATATCATTTGTTTATTTTTAAAAAAAAATAGATATTCTCTGGCCAAGTGGCAATAAAATGTAGCTGTTAGTTGATCTTATTTTTAATTGCCATTTGTTATGAATACTGCAGTGTAAAAATGGGCACCCTCCCAGCCCTTGGCCGCCGGTGCTACTCAAAATCTCACCCACTGTCCCTACGCCATCCAGCTAGCACACATAGGCCTGCAGTAGGCGCAATCCTGACCCCAACCATAACGAAAGCAGCGGCCAGAATGGCAGGTGGCTAAAGCTGCATGGCAGGCAGCTGAAGCGGCAATGCTCCAACTCCAAGGTACGATCTACTAAATATTAGGGAATACAATGCATGGATGCGCCTTCATTTTGTACCAGTGGGTCAGGCCTTGGCTTTGAAGAATATAGTAAGAGATAAAATTGCAAAAGTTGAAGTAAAAATAGAATCTGCAAGCAATGTGAATATAGCACTGACTACCTATGTATCTT